CAGCGAGTCAAAACACAAGCGCCCGCGTAGAGTCACGGACGTGCGACCAGAGGATCAGTCGAGAGCTGCCCGCGAGTATGGCGCTTCTGACCATGCGTAAAGCCCCGCCCTATCAGTACAGTGAGCGCGGCATGTACCCTGCTGTGCAGAGCGGGCGCGGTGTGAAGCCTGCTGTGCAGCGCGGGCGCGGTGTGAAGCCTGCTGTGCAGAGCGGGCGCGGTGTGAAGCCTGCTGTGCAGCGCAAGTGCGGTGTGAAGCCTGCTCTGCAGCGCGGGCTGTGCAGAGCGGGCGCTGCAGAGCACATGCACCTCTTGCCGGGCTCTGTGAGATCAGGGCACGCACAGCACCCTGTCTTGTATTGTGCTTTGCTTCGTTTGGTTTCATCAGACTGCCTTCATGAACATGGGTACTGAAAAGGGTTTTACGCATATAACAGGATGGAACATGGTCTTATTTCTTGCCTTGGTCTTCTTAATGGAAGGTTTGGGACGCAAAATCCAGGACAAAGCTTGCCGCGTTTTTGAAGCTTTACTCTCCAGACCTCGCGTTTAGGTCTGTAGAACCTCGCACCTGGTCATACTTATTCCATTTCAAGTTTTTGAGGGCCTGGGACATGTTTCGTTTGAGCTATGTCTTTTCTGAACTCTATGCCCTGACTGTCTTCTGTGTGCGAGAACGCACCACCATCGGATGGAGATGTGGGGCAATACAAGTTCCCTTATTCAAACGACCCATATAAACACCAACATGCCACTGGCGACACAATGCACATCATTCAACAACCAGCTTTTATGGCTTACCTGCAGCTCTTTCCAACTGTAATTGCCCTACGAAATGCGCGCAAAATGAAGGTTAATCAAATATTAAGTGTTAATTTCATGCTGATGCCAGAGCCGTAAAACTTGAATGGCGTAGAGGAAAGTTATGCCATAACACTGACGTGCGTTTCGTAACGTGGACAGTGTCCAGCAGATTAGGCTAGCCATCAAGTAGCTCATGCACCTGCGGCTATTGCATGCCATTCGGTCATGTTGCCTGCTGTCGGCGACTCTCATTCGCTGCAGACACACACACACACACGTTCGGCGACGGTGGATCCACTGCACCGCAGGTCCGAATGGCTATGTCCTGAAGCCGAGTAGGGACTGCTAGCGTCCAACATTTTGCGTGAGCCTTCAAAACGTGTGATGACAGAACAGTCTCTATTCCGACCTACGTTCTACAAATGCGTGCCAATAAAGGAAAATCATTACTTAAAACTTGCCTCACCGCATTTCTTACACCTTACAAAATGGAGTTATGTTCCCAGTACCTTAGCAAACAGACTGTGCAATTTAGATGGCATTGCAATTTGCTATGGTCAGCATTCACTGCGGTGATATAAGCCTGGGCTGCACGACACGTACTTTGGTAAAACGACACAAAAATCGCGCAATGAGTTTCGCAATATTTGACGAAGTATTGTAGGTGTCGCCATAAGCCTCTGCCCCGTTGTGCAGTGAGCCACTGTCCGCCACGCGTTGTGGACGTCGCCCCACGAATTATCGCGCTCCCATTCCTCCGTTCAGACTCCGTTCCGCCAGTGACACTTCTGGGTCGAAGCGCCTTCAACTGTAGCCCGAGCGGGCGCCGAACTAAAGCGGATGAACGCCGCTGGCGCGGGCCGGAGGTGGCGCGGTGCCGCCTGTAAACCCGAGCCGCCGAGGTGCCGCCTGTAGACCCGAGCCGCCGCGGTGCCGCCTGTAGACCCGAGCCGTCGAGATGCCGCCTGTAGACCCGAGCCGCCGCGGTGCCGCCTGTAGACCCGAGGCTGCCCGATGGGCCGCGCCGGGCGCTCCACGGAGCGGCTCTCATTGCTCACGCGGGTGACATTCAGGTGCTTGTGTCTGCTCTTGCCCGGGCGCTTCCCCCCTGTCTGGGCCAGCGTCTGCTCTTCCTTGGACACTTTCTCCTGGTCTGGGTGCAGAGTCGGATGGCGCTCCTTGCAGTTTCTGACATGACTTTTGTCATCTACATATATATATATATATATATATATATATATATTTATATTTATATATATATATATATATTTATAGCAATATAACATTTCAAAGGGCAGCACAGGGGGAGCCGATTTTCTGCCTACCTCGCCACATGACGAATCGTCACGCTTTTCCTTCGTGTGGATCTATTATGAACGCAACGAAAAAGCTCAAAGTGAAAACCTGTTTACAATGGGAAGACGCTAAGGCAGAATGTGGTAAATTTGCTCTGCTCTGCAAGGCAGCGTTTTTGAAACACGATGACGGGAGGGTAGTGCGCTCAAATCCTCGAGCGTTTCATCGAAATACCTGTCACACGGGCAAAACAAGAAATGCAACGCAGCAGTATGCCTTTCATAATGTAGCTAAATATTCCATCGGCTCATTTCCAGACATGCAAAAATTTTCCCGCAGACTGTTGCAAAACGCATTAACAGAGAGCGGGCACCCTTCAACACGTCACCCTATCACAATGTAGATGCAATGTTCCACGCCGTCTATTGGTGGAGCCAAGTCCCGGTGATGGGATGGGGGAGGAGGCAGGTCAGGACCTGGAGGGCAATCCGAACTGAATAGTGCTTATAACGGTGAAGATCCAACCACGACAAATAATGCGAAGAGAAGCACCATGTGGGAAAAATTAAAGGTGTGTTGCCTGACCTTCCTTTCTCCACAGGTTGCACCCATGACGCCGCTACCTCTCAATGCAGGATGCGTGATAGCGGTGGCGAGCCGGCCCCCGGCCGGGCCGCGGGCCGGCGCGCCGTAAACCGGCGCCTGTCGGCAGCGCCGATCGTGCCAGGCATCGGCGACCAGCGCCGATCGTGCCAGGCATAACGGCGCCGGCTGCTGTGGCACCGGCGTCAGCGGGCCCGCCGGCCGGCCGACCTGCGGTCAGAGCGGTGCTCTGGACTGGGTGTCAGGGGGCCCTCGGTCAGAGTGGTGCTCTGGACTGGGTGTCAGGGGCCCCTCGGCCAGAGTGGTGCTCTGGACTGGGTGTCAGGGGCCCCTCGGTCAAAGCGGTGCTCTGGACTGGGTGTCAGGGGCCCCTCGGTCAGAGCGGTGCTCTGGACTGGGAGTCAGGGGCCCCTCGGTCAGAGTGCTGCTCTGGACTGGGTGTCAGGGGCACCTCGGTCAAAGCGGTGCTCTGGACTGGGTGTCAGGGGGCCCTCAGTCAGAGCGGTGCTCTGCACTGGGAGTCAGGGGGCCCTCAGTCAGAGCGGTGCTCTGGACGCGGTGTCAGGGACGCCTCGGTCAGAGTGGTGCTCTGGATGCGGTGTCAGGGGCCCCTCGGTCAGAGTGGTGCTCTGGATGGGTTGTCATGGACGCCTCCGGTCAGATCAGTGTCCTGGAATAGGAGTTCGAGAACCTCGGCCAGCCTGGTGTCCTTAGCTGCCAGTCAGGGGGGGGGGGCCTCTAGTTGGCCCACTGTTCTGGACTGGGAGTTAGTACGGCCCCGGGCTGACCGTCGTGACAAGGGATGGTCGAGCAGAGGGATCGTGGGCTTATCTGGGTGTATTGAGAGCCGCCGGGGCATGGTATTTAAGGGACGACTAGGTTGTGAAGCACTTAATCCTGACACTTTATAGGCAGCTACATTTTGTAGGGCATTCGGTGCGAAATACACCTTTAGGATAACATGCTGGAGTAATACAGGTACTTTAAGCGCGAGTGGTAGCTTGCTCTGACTTGCCTTCCCCTCTGTCTCAACGTCTGTGTTCGATCTTTGAGTTTGCGCATGCTATCATAGCAATAGGCGCTATTGGAATCTGCTGGGATCCGGCAGCCTGTGCCTTACTTCGCTAAACCAAGCCAAAAACCTCGCTGAACCAGCATAACTGCCATGTTCGCCGTCTGGTTCAGGATATCAATAACCAGGCATCCATCCTGCACAAGTCTTGCCATGATAAGTAGGCTTATAAAACGCTTAGTTCCGCATGCAATCCGGTTAATCCTGCGTAACGAAGTATTTGCATGCATATAGATTTGTAATTCAACCAGCGGAAGCATACATTCGAATCGCTTGCGCAGGTAGTTTGCATTTTGAGGATAACCACTGGCTATGCAGGATGCTGAAAAGTGGAATGCGAGAAAGGTCTTCGTTGTCGAAAAAAGTCTCCGTCGCAGACGTTAAGATTTAGCTCATGCGAATCGTGACGGCGTCGTGGTAAAATTAAAGGACCTCGTAGTGAAATGGTAATTGAAAACATAATAATCAGCGGGAAATATGTGAAGAATGTTTGCAGTCGACGCTTCATCAAAATGCTACCGTAAGCCATTCAGATGTTGTACCTATTTTACCCACTGAAATATTCTCAAGATCAAGTTGACACCTTGCGTATACCACGCAAATCTGGCATTCTCGTAAAAGGCTGCCGCCCACTGCTTTGTCTTGCATGCATTTGTAACACGGCACTTCTTCACTTATTCCCACTAGATTACTCACAGTTATTAATAAAAACCCATTACGGTCACCGTAAGCGGTGGTGTTATCTGCTTCGTCGCTTATGACCCTGTAAGTGTCGTGGCCCAGTTATTTATAGGAAAGCGAAGAGAGCTTTCCTCACGCTCGCAACAAGCCCTGGAGCGGTTATCGATGCTCGTTCATCGACGGGTAAATCACGGCATGACGATCCAATCGACATGTTTTATCGATACGCAGTCGCCAGGATGTGTGTCTCCCCGCTGTGACCCGAAGGTCGCACAGCTTACCGGCTTCCGCGGTAATGGCCCCGGTACCAGGCCCGCACGTCCAACCACCATTCTGGGCGCGGTCTGGTCACGCCCGCTCAGTCATCTGACCACAAAGCCAGGCCATTTATCATCGGTACAGCACATGCGAAATGCGCGGAGGCCCGTGTTTTTCTGGCGGCGGTGACCAGAGCCGACCGACCAGCCCGTAGTCAAGCGCGAGCAAAAGGCTGGAAAATGGCTGCGGCGCTAGCCGCGTTGGCGAGCCTGGCGGGAGGTCGGGCGTGTGACCGACGGGCGGCGGAATAGAGCGCGGTAGCGAGCCCGGCGGGAGGTCGGGTGCGTGACCGACGAGCGGCGGAATAGAGCGCGGTAGCGAGCCCGGCGGGAGTTCGAACGCGCGGCCGAAGGGCGGCGGACCGGAGCGCGGTAGCGAGTCAGGCGGGAGGTCGGGCGCGCGGCCGAAGGGGGGCGGACAGGGGCAGCGACGGCCCCTGTCCTTGAGCGTTCCTGGCCGAGGCACCCGTCCCCGGCGGCGCAGCTGGCACCTCAGGCCGGTCGCGACAGCCACTGACCTGGACGTAGACGGCGAACGGCATGACGGCGGCCGAGACGAGCAGGTCAGCCACGGCCAGGCTGACGATGAAGTAGTTGGTAGCCGACTGCAGCGAGCGCTCCCGCCAAACGGCCAGGATCACCAGCACGTTGCCGAAGACACTGAGCAGTGGGATCAGCACCAGCAGCAGGAACCAGTACTGTCTGGCTGGCGGCGGGGCCGCGCCGCACCCGGTGCCGTTAAGCTCGGCGCAGCTGGCGTTCAGCTCGCTCGCGTTCGCCGGCTCGGCGTCGGCCAGCAGCGCGTCCAGCACCAGCTCGGCTCCGCTACAGTTGAGACAGGTCAGTCGGCGGCCGGTGGGCGACATGACGGCTGAACGGCCGGGCAGCCGGACAGCCGGACGGGCGGACACGGAGCCGGGGCGGTGGCGGCCGGCCGGACGCTGCCGTAGGCGCACACTGCCACCTCCCGCCTGAAGCCTTCGATCACCACGGCTTGGCGAGGCGGCCGGCGGCGGCGCTGCCGGCGCGCCGCGCCGACCGCCCAGCATTGTGGCACCGTAATGGACCGCCTATCTGGACATGCGAGGAGGAGGCCCGCCGGGACTCGGCCCCGGCCCTGCTCCCGCGGCGTCTCGCAAAAGCGCGGTCGTCGCACCTCGCCCGGGGCAACGGCGGCGCCGTCCCTCCGTAGATAGCGCTCCGGCGAGGGGAATTTGAATGTGAACAGGTGCGCGAGGAACCGGCTGAAAACCGGACGAGGCTCAGCCTGTATGGTTCTCTTTTTCTGCGAATGAGCCATTACAACTATGGCCGAAGTTGCCGCTGAATTTTATTGCAGAATTGCTCCCTTTGATGAGGACTGCTGGAAATCAAACTACGTTGTGTACTTCGTTTAATTGCCTACGGCATGCCATATGGCTGTTGATGCCCATACTACAGTCGATGACAGAAAAGACCTTACAGTTTGTCAATCACGGAAACGTTCAGGTTCGGTTCGGGCAATGATGACCCCTACAGCGCAGAAACATATTACCCTTGACATTTGTTTTGGTAAGTACGCTTTCGCTTCATGATTTGTGATCGCATGTGAATCCTGCATGGCCTGCACATTGGACCTTGCATATCTAGTGGTGCTACAAAAGCAATAATTAGTACATGCTTTGATGTGGCTATTAAAGCCACGGAAAACGCCAGTCATCAGTCTTTTCAGAATGCAGTTGGTAACCAGATTCACGGTATCAGTGGCATGACTACCTGGCCATTTCCGCATTCGCCATATTTCCAGTAAGAGAAACTCCTCCCAGACGTCTGTCCACGTGCGGAAGAACGGAATTCCTCACGACTGCTTTACCACTTGCAGGGACTTCAAGTTTCGAATAATCGCGAGAATGTTCCGTCCGTAAATGGGTTCTGTGTTCATTCTATGCTCTTGACGACGAGGCCCCAGTGCATCTCTCGGCGCGGGTGACGCCTCTAGTATGACGCTGTTTTTTTCTCCTCGGGGTCAGCCAGATCCGATGATTACATTACTGCAAGTGGCATCCACCAAGGTGGCGCTTCGGGGTGCCGACAACCTACATGTTCACCGCAATTTTCCTCTCGTCTGCTGATGCTCGGGTGGCCAAACTACCGCGTTCTCTGGATCGAAGTCGCCGAGGAGCGGTCATGATACAGGGGCTACCCGGGAGCGGCGCCGGTGCTCGAGCCGGCCAATCAAAACAGTCAGCAATCAGCCACTCAGTCAGGTCGGCTTGTTTGAGCAGCGTATCAGCTTTCATCATGTGCTCGTTCCTTTGATATGCCACCACCCATTCGGTACAGGGTAGCTTTTGCCATGATATATTTGCATGCTGAGTTCTGCTCGGTAACCATTTATGGGTCAGGGGGGGGGGGGGGGCGAGAAGTGTCAGCCCAGGTTACTGGAGATGGGACGTGCCTAGCAGGCAAGGTCAAAAGCACACGTGATCTGCGTTCGAAATACGCATCCCTGTTGACCTAGTCTGGAGTCTCGCATTCTTAAGTTATCGGTTTGCTAAGGGTTGACTATAAAATGAAGCTGACGCTCAATCATCTTGCTGACCGCAAGTTTGTTTGTGTGATTGAATTTCACATCGGACGGCCCTCATGCCTCACAGCAGTTTTGTCATCCAAGTGTTTGAGTGTGCCGCGATGCGAAGTGCCGCGATGTGATCTGCCGCGATGGTAAAAGGATGGCAATTGGCAATCCATGATTTGATTCGACAATGACAGCAATCCGCAACGAGTCAAAAGCTCTCAGGCCAGTTTCAAGCAACGAATGGGCTGAAGGTAAGCTTACCGGATATTCCCCAAGGTACTTTCATCATCTGCAAGCTGTCTCCTGACATTTGGATGATTTAAGACCCAGCCGAGATGCTAAGACACGACGGGATGCTACACCGGTACACCTTATGCATACTTCTTTGTAGGATTTGCGGATGTTGAAGTTGTTCATTGACAACACCGGCTTACAAGTCAATTCAACGTGACGTTGTTCGAATGCATGCTGCTCAACGAAGGCGGCAAAACCTCCAGTCATAAAATAAAATAAGAGTGCTGACAGTTGAATCTACAAGTAACTCGTATTTGCTACCTTTGCTCGACCGCTTTGGCCTTATTTTGCGCAGTTCTGATATATTTGGGTATATCTAATTGTCCCTCCGTTCACTGCATATCGCGAGCCAAAATGTTAATTCCTGGTAACAGCTGATTGCACTAGGTGTTATTGTTTTCAAACACCTTGAACAATATGCTTTGAAACGGAGCGGCAGCACGCTAAGAAGTCAAGTGTTTTCAACAGTGTCTCCAAGGATTCAATGTCATAATGGCTTCCTGCTTCCTTAATTGGCAAACTCATTTCAACTCAGCCTCTAAGGTGCAGGGCCAGTTGAGCCGTAGAGACATTCTTGGAATCTTGTCACACAAAGTCGTCCAGCACCGGTAGCAAGTTCCTTAAGGCGATGGGAGGCATTCTGAGAAGGGCTGTGTAACTCAGTGCCTTCCAAAACTGAGCCTGGAACGTGGCTTGTCGGTATGTGTGCAGCACGCTACAGTAGTATGCAAATCATTTCCTATCCGGGCTCACCATTTAAACTCATGTCCTGCAATATGTGAGGTGCATGAACTAAGCTATGTTCATGTTTTGAAAGTACGACCGAGAAATTATGACATAACATGAACACACATGAGCTATAACATGACAGTACGACCGAGAAATTATGCATTGTTCGTGTGTCTCGGGCTCTATTTAGCATTAATGTTAGCCTGTTTTTATATCGGTGGCATGAACATATTTTTGCCATTTTCCGTCAACAGCCTAATGCGAGCCAAAATCTTGCAGCCCTGCTTAAGGGCGGATATGTACTAGGTCATCTTGTCAAACGCTGCTGTACAGCGCTCTTGTAACGAAGGGGCGACTTGTCCGCACCTCTATTTTCTTGCTGAGTGCGTCAGACCTTTCAACACTTGTCGCTGCTGCGCACAAGATGTGATTTATTGTCTATTGTTTATGATTATGTTTTGATCACGCCGAGCAGTCTTTTTTTTGTCATCAGTCATCTTTTAATGCATTACATGGCCATTACTTTTGTGATATTTATGGACATTAAGTGCGGTTATTTATGGTTGCATTCTTGCATAGTTTAGCACATAAAATGATTTAGCGGACCTTGTGACCTTAGAATGACTTGCGCTGCATTCGACTTTTGTCATTTGACTGATTGTCGTTTGACTTTTGTCTATCTGACTTGTATCCATTTGACTTGTATCTGTCTGATTTTTATCCATCCGACTTTTATCCATCTGACTTTTATTCAATTGACTTCTATTCATTTGGCTTTTATCCATTTCACCTTTTCCCTTTAGCCTATTTGTCGTCAAACCTTTCACAATTGGCTTTTTCCCTCTGCCTTCTTGGCTTTTCACTATTTTCCCGTTACCGCCATCGGCACCGAGGCGCATACGCCATGGTGTGTGACAGACAGATGTATAAGCATTTTTAGAACTGTAGTACGGATTAAAGGGAGTGGTCCACATTTGTATGCGGTTTTGGACTGAAATAGCTGTCTGAAAATTCTGCGGTGCAGTTAAAGCCCTGTCCTTCCTTAAACCTAAACCTCTCTTTTTTCTGAGCTGCATTCCCGCAATTGTCGTTGTTAATTGGGGTCTTTGGGCGTGCCGACTGCGTAGGTCATTTTGCGCCCATAACCTTATCATTTAGCTACGAGGTGAATATATAGAGCGAAATCCGATTTCTGCAAGGAATGAAAAAACAGCTGGCCTTCTTCAAAAAGCTGCGAGTGATTGCCAAGAATGTCACTTAGCGTGAGGGAGTTTCATCCGAAGTGAAGCGAGCGTTCCCGGGCGAAATGTGGACAAAGCATTACTACGTGGTGCACTGTAAGAAGCCCAGAACAACGAGGGCATCGGTGTCTCTCACCACCACACAACAAATATCGGTGAGTCGGAGGTAAGACCAATACGCAGTCTGCAATGCACAACTTCTTCTCGCCTCGAATCGCGGAAGCTGGAAGACCACAGGCGCCATTCGTGTTTTATATGTTTCAATTTGCTATGTGTGTCATTATTCCAACAGACCTGCCACTTGTGTTGCAAGAAAGGTGAAATGGCTAGATAAAAATTTCGAGCTGGAAGAGGCAATCTGCGCGTACATGGTGCATGTGATGCGCGTTTTGCGGCTGCGTCAGCGAGCTCATTTCCAACGATACCGACATGACTAGGAATCCAACACAGCGTCACCTTCTTTCCAACTCGGTCCAATGCAGTGAGACGTATCAAGATGTCTTGTAAAAGAGGACATGAGCACGCCATTATCACACTACATCACATCGCATCACATCACCATCACATCACACCATCAGGACCCTCTGACACGCACAGCAGCATGCTGATAGCACACTTTAATTCGACCATGGTAAGGGTATCATTATACATGTTTTCGGTGGAAGAAAATTCTATGCGTGCTTCTTCGTGCTGCGTTCTATGGCCAACAAACTGCCGTTCCTTACTGACATCACAGCTGCGTTCCGGGATTGCTCGGCCAATCTCGTTTGTAACATCCACTGGATGTATGACGCCGTGGTCATTTACATGTAGTACGGGGAGTGAGGTAGAGTAGAACTGGCCAGAAATTCGCTTGATCCGTGACCAGACCTGGGCAGTAGGTGTGAGACGGGTAAGTGTGCAGACGTAATCACGCCAAGAATTGCGCTTCGCCTCCCTGATCGTTCGACGCACGAACGCCCTTGCCTTCTTAAACGCAATCAGATTGGCCGTGTTGCTCCTTCGATCGAAAGCTCTAAAAGCGCGTTTGCGCGCACGGATGGCG